GCTGAACACAGCAGTTCCACACTGTGATTGTAACTATGACATAAGATGGCACAGTAATGAGAGAAGTTGTCCAGTACAATATCACGCTGTAATGATATCTCCAATACCCCCTTTTTATCTGGGCTTTAAATCTGAGAACATAGCTCTGCCTGACTAGTTTAAAAAAAAAAGACCACCAGCACCTAAAATAGAATAAATTGCTTTAAGAAAATAATCATTTTGTGAAAATTTGTAAAACAATAGGCAATTGACAACAATGTATTTTAGTTTCTGCTCATGTAATTATTTATTTTTGAAAAGTTTTATACAGGTAAATAAAAAAAGTTATGCTGACTTTATACCATATAGGCATATTTTGTGGTCAATAAAACAAAGGTTTGAGTGCTGCTCGCAAGTAGTTAATGATTCATTATTTTTGTGCTGGGAAATATCCAATTTTCTAGAGATCCGTGTAACTGGGGTCATAGAGATCAGCTGAGTGTTTGATCATAAAGGAAAACGTTTTAAGAATTAACCACTGTAAGGGTCACAGTGCCAAAAAAACAGCACTAAAACTTGAACTGTTTTGCTAACTACAATGTTGTTGTTCTTCTTCTTATTATACAGGATTTATATAGCGCCAACAGTTTGCTCAGGGCTTTATGTTTGTAAAATGGTTATACTGCAATTATTTGCTCATAAAAGCTGTAGCATTAGTGCAATGGTATTCTTACACTGCATGTGTAAATGCTTAATTTAACATACTATTCCATTGCTCACTGAACCGAGTCAAGATGGCTATGGCTGCATCCACTGGTGAAAGTCCACCAAGGAGGACATTGCAGGGTGCGCCTAGTACGAACATCTCTATTGGCCACATATGGCAATGATGAACTAACAGTGAACACAATAGGCAAGGAAGGGCAGGACCCCATCGTTCTGGGGAATATGGTGAAACGTTTGTAAATATGCATACCAGAGCTTCCAAGAATTCAAGGTTCATGGAGAGCTTGGTAGGAAAACTAGAGGAGTGTACTGTATGTCTGCAGTGCCAAATTAGAGACTTTTAGGTAGATTTAGGTTTGCTGTAAGGCTAATATTCAACATTGTATTAAGGTTTGAATGTTAGGCTCCATTCACATTAGGAAATTTCAAATCATGGGCGGAATCAATTTTGCACGAGATTTGAAAATGCAGTGTGACAATGTGCAAATGCACAATCACATTTTGGAGGTGCCATTCATTTCAATAGCATCTGGAAACGCGGGGCATTTTTTGCCGTGATTGTGGCAGGTTTTTGTGTGCGACAAACAAGCCACAATCGCGCAAACAAAATCACGGGATGAGCAATGCCCAAAAAAGGTTCCAGAGCCATTACATATACAGTGCCTTAAAAAAAGTATTAATACCCCTTGAAATTTTCCACATTTTGTCATGTTACAACCAAAAACGTATGTGTTTTATTGGGATTTTATATGATAGACCAACACAAAGTGGCACATAATTGTGAAGTGGAAGGAAAATAATAAATGCTTTTCAAGCTTTTTTTACAAATGCATATCTGAAAGGTGTGGCGTGCTTTAGTATTCAGCCTCCCTGAGTCAATACTTTGAAGAATCACCTTTCTCTGCAATTACAGCTGCAAGTCTTTTTGGGGATTTCTCTACCAGCTTTGCACATTTAGAGAGTGAAATTTTTGCCCATTCTTCTTTGCAAAATAAACACATAACCTCTCCCACCGTCTCAAACTGTTAATATACTATCCATGATAAAGACCCAAATTCAAAATTACAAGTTCCAAAATAAAAATTAAAAATTAAAAAATTATTATAGTCCTTGCACTTCAATCTTCAAACTGTGAAATGTCCAAATCTTCCCTTCAATCCAAAGAACCTCGAAAAAATAAACGAGATATAGTGCATTATCTTAATAAAATTAAATTATAAGTGATATCATGCAACCACACAGGTGATATAATATATACTAATAAATAGGTAACACCTGTGAGGTGAAAAATCAACACACCACTTCACAAGTGGCCCTGTGAAACAACCACTGCAATACGTGAGATGCAACACATACACAATAAGTGATCATTCAGAAATTGTGCCAAAAATAGGTGCCACCACTCTGCATATGGGATAATATACAATTACCCTCTTTCTGCTTTCAAAACACTCTGAAATTTCCTTTTCCCAGATGGGATTGCTTTCACTGGGAGTATGCTTTCCTTTAGTAGGAGTGCACAGTTGAATCCCTTCCTCCTGTAGCAATGGGTATCGGGATCCCCGTTCCTCACAGAACAAATGGGGGCAAACTCAGTGGAGTAATAAATAAGGTATACATAATTTATTAGCAGCTTACATTATCAACAGGTACCGTCCATCCTCGATAAGTTCGTTATAAGCCGAAAGCACCTTAAAAATGGCCGCGCTGCTCCTTCCGGCCTAGCGTCTGATGTCACGACACTGACGCGTTTCGTCACTTCCGACTTTTTCACAAGGGAAAAAAAAGGGATATAACGGACTTATCGAGGATGGACGGTACCTGTTGATAATGTAAGCTGCTAATAAATTATGTATACCTTATTTATTACTCCACTGAGTTTGCCCCCATTTGTTCTGTGAGGAACGGGGATCCCGATACCCATTGCTACAGGGGGAAGGGATTCATTCAACTGTGCACTCCTACTAAAGGAAAGCATACTCCCAGTGAAAGCAATCCCATCTGGGAAAAGGAAATTTCAGAGTGTTTTGAAAGCAGAAAGAGGGTAATTGTATATTATCCCATATGCAGAGTGGTGGCACCTATTTTTGGCACAATTTCTGAATGATCACTTATTGTGTATGTGTTGCATCTCACGTATTGCAGTGGTTGTTTCACAGGGCCACTTGTGAAGTGGTGTGTTGATTTTTCACCTCACAGGTGTTACCTATTTATTAGTATATATTATATCACCTGTGTGGTTGCATGATATCACTTATAATTTAATTTTATTAAGATAATGCACTATATCTAGTTTATTTTTTCGAGGTTCTTTGGATTGAAGGGAAGATTTGGACATTTCACAGTTTGAAGATTGAAGTGCAAGGACTATAATAATTTTTTAATTTTTATTTTGGAACTTGTAATTTTGAATTTGGGACTTTATCATGGATAGTATATTAACAGTTTGAGACGGTGGGAGAGGTTATGTGTGTCATTGAAAAGGTTTATGTTAATTTTGCACTTTCAAGGGTGAAAGTTTGACTTTTCTGTGGGAAATTATAGAGTTTTTCATTTATTATTCTTTGCAAAATAGCTCAAGCTCTGTCAGATTGGATGGAGAGTGTCTGTGAACAGCAATTTTTAAGTCTTGCTACAGATTCTCAATTGGATTTAGGTCTGGACTTTGACTGGGCCATTCTAGCACGTGAATATGCTTTGATCTAAACCATTCCATTGTAGCTCTGGCTGTATGTTTAGGGTCATTGTCTTGCTGGAAGGTGAACCTCAGTCTCAAGTCTTTTGCAGAATCTAACAGGTTTTCGTCTAAGATTGCCCTGTATTTGGCGCCATCCATCTTCCCATCAACTCTGACCAGCTTCCCTGTCCCTGCTGAAGAAAAGCAACCCCACAACATGATGCTGCCACCACCAGGTTTTACGCTGGGGATGGTGTGTTCAGGGTGAGGTACAGTTTTAGTTTTCTACCACACATAGTGTTTTGCTTTTAGGCCAAAAAGTAAAATTTTGGTCTCGTCTGACCAGAGCACCTTCTTCCACATGTCTGCTGTGTCCCCCACATGGCTTCTCGCAAACTGCAAACAGGACTTCTTATGGCTTTCTTTCAACAATGGCTTTCTTCTTGCCACTCTTCCATAAAGGCCAGATTTGTGGAGCGCACTACTAATAGCTGTTCTGTGGACAGCTTCTCCCACTTGAGCTGTGGATCTCTGCAGCTCCTCCAGTGTTACCAATGGCCTCTTGGCTGCTTCTCTGATTTAATGCTCTGCTTGCCCGGCCTGTCAGTTTAGGTGGATGGCCATGTCTTGGTAGGTTTGCAGTAGTGCCCTACTCTTTCCATTCTCGGATGATGGATTGAACAGTGCTCTGTGAGATGCGTTTTTTTTTATAGCCTAACCCTGCTTTAAACTTCTCCACAACTTTATCTCTGACCTGTCTGGTGTGTTCTTTGGCCTTCATGATGATTTTTGTTCACTAATGTTCTCCAAAAAAACCTCTGAGGGCTTCACAGAACAGCTGTAATTACACTGAGATTAAATTACACACAGGTGGACTCTATTTACTAATTAGGTGACTTCTGAAGGCAATTGGTTCCACTAGATTTTAGTTAGGGGTATCAGAGTAAAGGGGCTGAATACAAATGTACTCTACCCTTTTCAGATATTTATTTTTAAAAAAGTTTGAAAACCATTTATCATTTTCCTTCCACAATTCTGTGCCACTTTGTGTTGGTCTAGCACATAAAATCCCAATAAAATACATTTACGTTTTTGGTTGTAACATGACAATGTGGAAAATTTCAAGGCACTCTATATTGCAAAATTGTTACAAAATATTGTTTTGGTATCAAGGTTTGAACTTTATTTTGGCATGTTGCTGACTTATTTCGTATTTCAGATTGTTCTTCAGAAGTCTGTCTTACACCTGTGATGAAGAACATGGTATACCTGATATTGAATTAAATGAAATATTTGAGAGTAGAAATGGGAACTGCTAATAATGACTTCAAAGTTTTATAAGCTCCAGAACTGCCATCCTGTCTCTAGTTTCACTAGCTAGACCTTGAACTAGTATACACCCAATTAAGTCAGAAGAACCTGAACTCCTGTCCTCCATGCCCATTAGAGGTCAATGATTCACTATCTAGTGGAGCTAGGATCTGGATGACTGTTAAAAACAAGTCAGCAATGTCTCTCTATATAGTTCTGTTACAGGTTCATTTTAAATAAACAAAATAAATAAATGTAAAGGCCAATGGCTTTTTAACAGAACATTTGCTGTGAACGTCTCTTTCAGACATGGGTGAAGTGGTTTGTCGGTCTGCTGGTCGGAGCGGTAGTTGTCGTAGTTGTTGCTGTACCTGTGGCGCTGCTAGCAACAAAAGGTAAGGCTAAGCATGCTATTTAGATGGTCAGCCTACATGTACTAGATAATAGTTGTGTTACTCATGTGTACTTATGTAGTTGAAAATTATTGGTTAAAATGAAAATCCGCCAAAAACACCATAACATTCCAGACATCACTGGACCATGAAGGAGGGACTAACATTTCAACTTAATTGATCATAGATTGGGTTTAACCTTCCATGTCGGTATATTAGATACATATGTCGAAAGGATGCATAGTACATGTATCACATAGCAATCTGTTTGTTAGTTGGTTAGTAATATGTTTGCAGGAAGATGAAAGGGAGAGTTTGGCTGATAACTATGAACAGCAATCATATCACCGTGCAGAGCTGGTGCTGCCCGTCGATACCTTGAGCCTCCAGACTACGTAGGGCTGCCATTTTTGTAGAAAGTCTGGAAGCTCACAAGCCCCTGTCTGCCCATATTATTAAAGAATATGTAAACCTAACATTTCATATTTATGATATGTGCCTGTTGTACCATGTACTTGTATGAAAAAGTATTCTGTTCTCTTTATATTGTTTCCTTTGTGTGAAATCCCTGGTGTTTCTTCCAGTCCCTGTGTTTTTCTATAAAAATTGACCACACAAGGCATGAGAGCACAGCATGGTCAGTTTTCCACCTGTGCTGAGAACTCGGTGTGTGCTCTCCTCCAATGATCAGACTTCTGCTGACATCCACCCCCATCCCTTCTCCGTATAGCTATTCTTCTCCCCCCAGCTCTCTCAGCTCCTTATGCAGGTGAGAAAAGGGTATGTGATCTCTAATCAAAAGAAAAAAGGGAAAACCTGGTATTTACAATGTGTTTATATCTATACACAAGTGTTCTACCTTTTTATTTCTATTTTAAACTGTATGGGTTGTTTTTTACAAGGTAATTTTTCTATCCTGTTCAGTTGATTCTTAAATCTCCTTTTGTCAAGCCAGATGGTACTGACAGAGCCACGCATGGCTTAAAAACTCATAGCTGTCTATGGCAAGCTTAGGTATACAGGTATGTGTACAAATGCTAATTATGGTGCTAACCAGTGCATTTATTAAAGCCAAGTGCCAGGAAAAAAAGTTTTCCCTTGCAGTGGGGCTGTGCTCGCACTGCAATGGGTTAACTGCTCATTTTGTCCAGGAGAGAGTAGAAAGCCAATACTCACCAGATCCTTCATTCCACAGGTGAACAATGCTCCCCCACGATCCAGCGGTGGTCTGTTCTTGAATTTCTTACGTCCAGAGCAGGGCTATGGGCTTGATGACATCAGGAACAATCCAACACACAAGACCGCTAGACTGCAGGGGAGCAGGACCAGCAGGAACTGGTCTTGTGCAGGCAGTATCAGAGGTTCAAGTAAGTATATCTCCATTCTCCAATCCCCTAGACAAAAATGAGCAATTAACCGTTGCAGAAGGGAAAACTTATTCGCCCGGAGATGAGCCTAACAAGACTGCAGCTCTCCCTCACATGCTTTTCTCATGCTAAAATAGTTGGATAAGAGGCTGCAGTGGGTACAGAGGAGAAGTAGAGCTCAGGATCCTGGAATTCTTGGTTTGCACTTGCACTTGGTTAATACTAAGAGACGATCGGTCAACTGATTTTCTACGAAAGTGCATATCATGATGTAGTTGAAATGATATTAACCACTTTCCCGCCAGAGGATTTACCCTCCTCCCTGACCAGGCCATTTTTTTGCGATACGGCGCTGCGTTCGTTTAACTGACAATTGCACGGTCATGCAATACTGTACATAAATGAAATGTATGTCCTTTTTTTCCCACAAATAGACCTTTATTCGTGGTATTTGATCACCTGTGTTTTTTTTTTTTTTTTTTTTCGCTATATACAAAAATGACCGACAGTTATGAAAACAAAAACAATATAGTTGACTTTTTGCTATAAGACATATCTAATTTCTTCATAAATTTAGGCCAAAATGTATTCTGCTATGTCTTCGCTAAAAACAAATCCCAATACATGTAAATTAGTTGGTTTACATGAAAGTTATAGCATCTACAAATGGTGGTATATGTAATGGAATTAAAATTTTTTATACTAGTAACGGCGGCGATCAGGGACTTATAACGGGACTGCGGCGGGCACTCTGACACTGGGGAGAACTGACTAACTACCACTGACATCCCAATGACACTAATACAGTGATCAGTGCTAATAAAAAGCACTGACACTGTACTAATGACACTGGACAGGAAGGGGTTAACATCTGGGGCGATCAAAGGGTTGACTGTATGCTGTTTTACATAATGGGCTGTGTGTGTTTTACTAGGGAAACATGCTGCTGTGTATTTCTCTGCTGTGCAGAGAAATACACAACAGCATGTTCTTGCTGGTAGAAGAGAGATTTGTGTTTTACACAAAGGTCTCTCCCCTGTCAGCCTTACTCAGCGATCACTGGGTGCCGGGAGGGAATCTCTGGCCGGGACCTGGTGACTGACATCTGTAGCCGCCAATGGCAGCATGGGTAGGACGGCGCGTGCCCCCTACCCGGAAATGCAAACATAGCTACAGTATATACTAGCGTAGTAAAAGAGGAAGTGTAGGGTTGTTCTATGTTTCTGATCATACGCATTTTTTCCTATTCAATTCCTGTATTTTTCGCTCCATAAGATGCACTTTTTTCCCCCAAAAAAAGGGGAAGAAAATGTCAGTGCGTCTTATAGAGCGAATATAAAGCGGCCGGTCCGGTATTTCTGCCGCCACCATGTCAGAATACCGGGCCGGCCACTCAGCTGTTCTCTCCTGCAGGGCCTTACCTGTTCCTCGCTCCAGTGCTGCATAGTCTTCCCGCGCTGGCTTCTGTGAAAGCCGGGTGCCGACTGCGCATGTGCTGCGCTTTGTGAATGATCCGGTGTCTTCTGGGACACATGACAGGTCCCAGAAGGCGCCGGGCCATTCACAAAGTGCAGCGCTTCTCGCGCATGCGCAGCAGTGGGCACCCGGCTGTCACAGAAGCCAGCCCGGGAAGAAGAGGGAAGGACAACTCCGCGGAAGTGGGAGTGGGTACCTGTCAAATTCGGGTACCCGCTCCCCCTCCCTCCCTAAAGGTCAGCAGTCTCTGGTCATCCCCCGCACTGTCTGCAGTCTCTGGTCATCCCCCACACTGTCTGCAGTCTCTGGTCATTCCCTGCACTGTCTGCAGTTTCTGGTCATCCCCTGTACTGTCTACAGTTTCTGGTCATCCCCTGTACTGTCTGCAGTCTCTGGTCATCCCCTGTACTGTCTGCAGTCTCTGGTCATCCCCTGCACTGTGTCCGCAGTCTCTGGTCATCTCCTGTACTGTGTCCGCAGTCTCTGGTCATCTCCTGTACTGTGTCTGCAGTCTCTGGTCATCTCCTGTACTGTGTCTGCAGTCTCTGGTCATCTCCTGTACTGTGTCTGCAGTCTCTGGTCATCTCCTGTACTGTGTCTGCAGTCTCTGGTCATCTCCTGTACTGTGTCTGCAGTCTCTGGTCATCTCCTGTACTGTGTCCGCAGTCTCTGGTCATCTCCTGTATTGTGTCCGCAGTCTCTGGTCATCCCCTGTACTGTGTCTGCAGTTCAGAATATTTTTTTTTTCTTGTTTTTCGCCTCTAAAACCTAGGTGCGTCTTATGGTCAGGTGCGTCTTATGGAGCAAAAAATACGGTATTTCCATACAATTACTGTACATGTTAAACGAAAATTGGATGTTGTGTTCACATATAATAAAAATGTTCTACTTTGTACTTTCAGTTTTTGTCTGAAAAGTCGGAATGGACTGTCAAAAGCACTATACTAACAATCAGATAATCGGCTGATCATTCCTTGTACAAACATTTTCGTTCGAACTTCTTATGGTGCATACGGCCCATTAGAGTGGCTAAAACCTTCCTATAATTTGAGAAGGAGGTTGATTCAAAGTGAGAGATGAAACTTTTTACATGCTTATATTCAGGGCTTTGCAAAGTACAAAGGAACTAGCAACAATATCAGGTTGCATGTACCCAAAATCCGCTGCTTAGTTAATGCAGATGGCCCCATAAGAGGCAGAGTCATCACAATCAACGGACTCGTAATTATGTTTTAAGTTCACGGAGCATTGCACAATCTGCAGGTGAATCAAAGTTCCTTAAGCATGTTTTCTGTTTTAAGGAAATGTGGTTTTTATTTCTGAACTGGCATTGTGCAATCGCAGGGCCTTTCTGCCAATTGTTAGTCATATCACCAATTCTAAATAAAGGCACAGTGGGTGTAGCTCAATAAAATCTACAGTTCAGAAGAATCGTCTCTGTACATGTTAGTGTTACCAAATCACATTGTTTATAGCAGAAATGTACCTCTGTCCTGGTATTATTATTACTTTTTCTAAGCAGGTGTATATGACCTAGGGGTCTCCAAACTTTATAAACGAAGGGCCAGTTTATTTTCCTTCAGACTTTAGGGGGGCCGGACTGTTGCCAGTGGGACTGGAAATTTTCCTGGCACAAGTGGAAGTATATATCACCACATTTGGTAATAGGGGGAAGAATAGTGCCCCATCATTGGCATCACTGGGAGGAATACTGGCCCATTGTGTCAGTGGGAGAAATGTTGCTCCATTGTTTGTCAGTTGGTAGAATAGTGTCTTGTATCAGTGGGAGGAATAGTGTCCAAAGGGGGCCAGATAAAGGCATGAAGAGGGCTGCATCCAGCCCCTGGGCTGCAGTTTGGAGACCACTGGTCTAAACCAAGATCACAGGAGCATTGTGGTTATTTCATGCAATTGGAGACTGCAGAGTCTATTGTTTACATTCAGAGAGACCCTGTATACATGAAGGATGTGCATCTCCATGAGTATACGTATTTACATAGAACGAAGGATCTGAAGACATAAACGTACACTAATATATACAATAGCCCAGTGACTTTCACATGCATTTCTACAAACATTAAAAACACTATGGGGTTGATTTACTAAAGGCAAATAGACTATGCACATTGCAAAGTGCAGTTATACTCTTCAAGATCAGTT